AGATTCTCTTAATATTTATTAATAACTTAGATTTTGGTCTGCATGTCACTATTTTAAAATTGACGGATGGCATAATGCTTAAAAGTGTTATGACCTGTGAAGGGATGTTAATAAACTTCAAGAGGATGGAGTAAGCTAACAAGTAGCAGATGGAATTTACTGCAGGAAAAAAAAAATCATCACTTTGAGAGCGGAAGAATGCAGCAACAATTTAAAATACAGGATATACTTCAAAAATGGACACCAAAACAGAAGGACTTGAGTATGCATGTCCATAAATTGTTAAACAGTCAATTGAGAAAGCTTTTAATTAACCATAGTGTCCTGGACTTTATAAAAAAGAGCATAATATTTATTGAAGTTAAGAACAAATGCAAACTACAAATCACAGTTGAAATTTCCTGTATATTCTGGTTTAATTCAAAGTTGCAAAAACACTTTCTGCACAGTTTGGGAAATGTAACCTTGGTACTATTACAACAGCCCCAATTGAGTGTTAAGTTAAGGATTAAAAAAGTAAAGTTTTGGTTTCAGTGTAAGGTGAATTAGAGGTTATTTACTTCCAGTTTGTTTCATTATGCCAATGTGTGCTAATGCTTTAACTTCCAACTCAGCTGAGAGGCTTTTATAAGTTACAGTTAGAGTGAGTGCTGGACCTGTGAGTATGAAGGAGCAGAGAAAAGGTATTTACACTTACCCTTTCAGAATGCAGATCATTGACCTTCTTTCTGCTCTGCTGGTTATCTTGCTTTGCCCAAGAAACAGTGCTGACCCAGGTTGCAATTTGTGGACCAGATGACTTGGTGTGGTGTTATCATATAATTTCTACAGTGTTGAAGTAGGCCATTCAGCTCATACCAACCCTCTAAAGAGCATCCCACCCAGACCCATCACCCTACACTATCCTATTCCTGTAACCACGAGTTTTCCATGTTTAACTCATTTAGCCTGCATATCCCTGGGCACTATGGGCAATTTAGCCTGGCCAATCCACCTAACCTGCACATTTTTGGACTGTGGGAGGAAACCAGAGCACCCAGAGGAAACCCACGTAGACACGAGAATAATGTAAAAACTTCACATAGACGTTCATGTAAGGGTGGAATCAAACCTGGATCCCTGGCATTGTGGGGCAGCAGTGGTGACCACTGAGCCATTGTGTTCCGGTGCTGTGGCTTCTTCTGGTGGTCAGCAGGAAGAAATACTACCCTTCTCCCCACCACCCCATTCATAAATCCTTCTAGAACCCTAAGCATGAAGTGCAGACAAGTTTTTATTTTATCTGGGTTATGTCCTTGGTGTGAACAGTCTAGCAGCTCAGTGTAAGGGGCTGCTCCTGACTTGCAGAATTTGAAGTGGACAGCAGATGGTGTTTAAATATGGCACCAATGGTGTAAACACAAGAAGGCCCCAGCATCTTTCAGTGCACAATTCTTCAGGAACAGCACCCAAAAGCTCAATTAGATAAGGAATAAAGTGAAGATGGAAGATTGTGGGAGAAAAGTCACTCCAAGCCATAAGAGACCAGGAGCCATGAATCTCAACTGACAAAAAATTACGACTGAAAATGAGAAAATTTCACCACAATGTGCAGCCAGTGCAAAGTAGCAATCAGCAAAGCTAATAGGAAATTGATCTGTTTCACCAAAAGAGTAAAAAGACAGAAGAGTTCATGCTCAAATTGTGTTAACTATCTGGTCAGAGCCCATTTTGAATGCTGCATCCAATTCTAGTCACCAAGGAACAGGTTGACACATTTAGCATTGGGGGCAGTGTAGACTGGAGACAGAAGCTGATCAGAAGCAGCCTTGTGTTATGAAAACAAACAGAAGAAGCTTAAACATTTCAGTGTGCAAAGAAAACATAAGAGGCCATCCTATGGAAGACATCAACAAAAAAACATAAGAAATAGGAATAGGACGAGGCTATTTGGCCTCTCAGGCATGCCCCTAATTCAACAAAATTATAGGTGATCTGCCCCAGGCCTCAAACCTTCTTTTGTGCTACCTCACCACAGCTATCCCTCCCTGATTTTTAAAAGATCTATCTACCTCCATTTTCAACGATTTCAGTGCTTTAGCATCCTGAACTCTCTGAGAGAGAATTCCAAACATTTTCACTATCCTCTGAAAGAAGAAATTCCTTCACATCTCAGCTTAAATGAGTGACTACTTATCTGTAACCATGTCCCCTCATTCAAGATTCTCCTACTAGTGGAAATATCTTCCCAACATTAACCCTGTCAAGCTCCTTTAGAATACAGCATATTTAAACAAGATCACCCTTCATTCTCCTAAATTCTAATGAATAAAGGTCTAACCTGGTAAACTGTTCTTGGTAAATACAAACATTTTATCCCAGGAAATGCCCCAGTGAATCTGTCAGTATGTCCCTTTTTTAAATAGAGACCAAAACTGTACAGTACTCCAGGTGCGGCTTCACCAACACCATGCATAGGATATAGAAAAATAAGCTCTGAGTATTATTTTAAGCTGTGGGAACAGAGCTCCAGTTTCAGGCTTTAAACAGTAGGATGTAATTTTAGAACTGATATTGCAAAATTTTTCATCACACAGGGAGTAAGCAGTATGCAGAACAAAAATCCTGACAAACAAATGATATAAGCAGATGATAAGTAATTAAAACGGAGAAAATTGTTGCCATTTAAAATACTTTATAAATGACAATGAAGAATACAACTGAATGGTTAGCAAGTACCTTATAGTTATGGAAGACATGAAATATTTCATATACACAGTGTAGTATATAATAGTAAGCATATTAGATACCAAGCTGAAGGAAACCAGTCATTGTTTAATAAGTAAGGACTAAAAATGTGCTTTTTTACAATTGCTAGAGAGCTTGATAGAGAGCTACATTTAATAAACATTTAGATGTAAACTTGTGATGCGAAGGCATACAAAGGCTATGAACCAAGTGCTGGAAAATGGGATTAAAATAGTTAGGTGATTATTTTGATCAGCACAGACCCAATGGACTGAAGGGCCTTTTTTGCTACTCTATCAACTGTATCGACAATATTAAATATATTAGTGGCACTACATGTAGTATTAATTACATCAGCAATGCATTTGTTTTATGCATATTCATATATATATGTATGTACGGGAAATGGGATAGTTATCACAGATCACCAATCATGAGTTAACAAATAAAAAAAAATTCTGCACAGACATTTGTGAAAATAGCAAAGCTAATGACAAATACATTGTGTATTTCTTAACTACTTTGAACCATCATCTTGTTTGCCATCTTAAATTATAATTTACAGTTGATATATTCCTCTTACAGCTCTCTCACAGCACCATATTCAATAAACAAAAAAAAACTACTTCAGAACTTGCATCCTTGGGTTTCCTTAGAATCCAAGTGACCTTTAACCATTTCATCTAACAGTGAAAACAGGAGGTATGGTTAGTAAGTTTGCAGATGACAACAAAATTGGAGGTGTAGTGGACAATGAAGAAGATTACCTCAGAGTAAAACGGGATCTTGATAAGATGGGCCAATAGGCCGAGGAGTGCCAGACTGAGTTTAACTTAGATAAATGTGAGGTGCTGCATTTTGGAAAGGCAAATCAGGGCAGGCCTTATACACTTAATGATAAGGTCCTGGGGAGTGTCGCTGAAATAAGAGACTTTGCATTGCAGCTTCATAGTTCTTTGAAAGTGGAGTCACAGGTAGGTAGAAAAGCAGAGAAGGTGTTTAGTATGCTTGCCTTTATTAGTCAGTGCATTGAGTATAGGAGTTGGGAAGTCATGTTGCGGCTGCACAGGACATTAGTTAGGCCACTATTGGAATATTGTGTGCAATTATGATCTCATCTGCTATGGGAAGGATGTTGTGAAACTTGAAAGGGTTCGGAAAAAATTTACAAGGATACTGCCAGGGTTGGAGGGTTTGAGCAATATGGAGAGGCTGAATAGACTGGGCTATTTTCTTTGGAGCGTTGGAAGCTGAGGAGTGACCTTATAGAGATTAATAAAATCATGAAGGGCATGAATAGGATTAATAGAGAATCATAGAATCCCTACAGTGTGGAAACAGGACCTTCAGCCCAACAAGTCCACACCGACCCTTGGAGCATCCCACCCCGACCCATCCCCCTATAACCACACACCCCTGAACACTACGGGCAATTTAGCATGGCCAATCCACTTAGCCTGCACATCTTTGGACTGTGGGAGGAAACCGGAGCACCCGGAGGAAACCCACGCAGACATGGGGAGAACGTGCAAACTCTGCACAGACAGTCGCCCGAGGCTGGAATCGAACCCGGGTCCCTGGTGCTGTGAGGTTACAGTGCTAACCACTGAGCACTGTGCCACCCCCAAAGAAGGTCTTTTCCCCAGGCTAGTGGAGTCCAAAACTAGAGTGTATAGGTTTAAGGTGAGAGGGAAAAGAATTAAAAGGGACCTAAGGGGCAATCTTTTCACGCAGAGGGTGGTGTGTTTATGGAATGAGCTGCCAGAGGAAGCAGTTGAGGCTGGTACAATTGCAACATTTAAAAGGCACCTCGATGGTTACATAAATAGGAAGGGTTTAGAGGGATATGGGCCAATTGCTGGCAAATGGGGCGAGATTTATTTAGGATATCTGGTCAGTATGGACGAGTTGGACCGAAGGGTCTGTTTCTGTGCTGTATATCTCTATGACTATGACTCTAGGGAGACAAAGTTTCTAAAGTTCACCAGCAGGTTTCACAGTTTCTTGACAAAGTCATTTTTAGTTTAAATCAAAACCATTGGAGATTTATTAATCTGGAAGATCTGATCTGTTATCATTTGAAAACTTCTGATTTAATAATTCTGTCAATCAGTAGAGATACTACACTCAATACGCCTTTCTCTGTCCTCTGTAAGAACTCAACAAGGGATTTTGGCTTTGGCTTATGTGTTTGGGGGTTAAGGTTCTTTGAAAATTAGTATTATTCATCAAGTTCTTAATCACAAAAAACAAACGGCATCTGTTTATTATCTTCCTTTGTACAGAAGACAAAAGCGGCTGTCCCTATAGTAGTACATGCTGGTCCCAAGTGGCTAATGGATGTGACTTGGCGAGGAGCAGAGGATAACAACAACAATTGTGTTGTGTACAGCAAAGGTAAAAATGAATTATTTTAATGTGAAATTATACATGCAAATGTGTGCACTTACGGAATGGAATTGCTTTGTAACTGAAATTTCTTGAGTTTTTAAAAATATTTTAGCTGTCATTAAACTTTAATCCAAAGCACTATCAGGAAAACCACAATTTAACATAATCAGCACTTATAATGACAAGAGGCTTGGGAGACTTATTACAAAGAGCAATCACTGCAGAAAATAAAGCAAATGTTACTGCCAATATGTCCCAACTTGAATTCAAGAGGCATAGATCATTCTAGATCCATCCCTCCTCATCAAAAAGAAACATTGATTCTTTAATATGTGAATCGAGATAAAGATTCTATTGTGTTGTAGAACTAGTTTGTGCCACAGTGGAGTCAATCTCAATCCTCAAGCCCATTATGCATTTTTTCTGCTGGTGGGAATGATGCATGTAGGAAAGGATGAGGAGAATATAATTCCTGTTTCATGATTCATCTGAAAATCATTGTGAATACAAATATTTTCACTGGCTGAGACTGGAAGAACTGAGAGAAACCATTCATTGCTGATGAAGTAGCATCAATGAAATGTGCACATGAATAACATTCTAATGAGTTAATTGATGATGTGCTGCCAGATCTATGAAGAGCCTACTGCTTTGATGTGGAAGTAGCAAGATAAGAATGAGCAAAGATTGTGCTCCTAGTATTGACAGCAACTGTGTGGTTTACTGAAGGTGAAGTTGGTATCAGAGATGTATGATTACGGTTTTCTAATAATTGTAATGAGTGGCCTGGTATATCAGTGGTGCAGTGATTGTTTGGAAAAGCACTATGAGGTAGGATCACAAACAATGCTCTTTCTAAGCTGGTCAATGTGCAGCCATTCCGCAATCAAAAATGTGCCATGCAAGAACAATGACGTATTTATTCATCCAGCTCTGCATCTTGTTGTCACGTATTTCTTGAGCACTTTTAATATAATACAAAGTCCCAAAGTGATTTCACAGAAAGCAAAAAATTGAATTGCATAAGAAAACCATAATGTAAGAAAGTGGCAGGCTTTAATGTATGCTTTAAAGGAGGAAGTGAGGCAAAGAGTAAGTAGGAATTTCATCTGCTTGGGAAAAAGGTAAATAAAGGTACGACCAGCAATGGTTGATTAAAATTGGGGATACTCCATTTCCACATTATGATAAAAACCGATAGAATCGCAGATGCTGTAAATCAGGAACAAAGACAGAAGTTGCTGGAAAAGCTCAGCAGGTCTGGCAGCATCTGTGAAAAAAAATCAGAGTTAACGTTTCGGGTCCGGTGGCCCTTTTTCAGAACTAGTTCTGAGAAAGGCTCATCCGACCCAAAACGCTAACTCTGATCTTTTCTTCACAGATGCTGCCAAACCTGCTGAGCTTTTCCAGCAACTTCTGATTTTATTCCATATTATGATGCTTTCAGAAAGCTATAATTAGGGCATTTGCAATGTTCTCACTTCTTTCTTTAAAACATATGTCATTGACAAGAGGGTGAAGTAAATTGATTTATTTTTCTGTCTCCTTATCTGCTTGTAATTTGGGTGATTTGTTTTTCATTCTTTTTCCGTTTTGAAGTTAGTGATGGTGTGTTCCCCAAAACCCTGGATATGAAGTCAGATTTTAAAATAAGCCATAGCAGATTCTTCACAGTTAAAAATTAGGATTTATTATGAATTTATAAAAGCATGTTGGCCATCACATACATCAGCTGAAATAAAGGAAAGAAGTAAGATAGAGGAAGCTGCAATTTTGAATTACTTAAAAATCAAAAGTTTTGGCATTAATTTATGTGAATTAGTGTTCAGTCAGTCAATCTGCAATAAACTGTTGCAGTTGGATAGTCTTGCAGAATTCTTTTTTGTAGAAGTCAGATACAGGTGGATTGCAGTTGAAGGCAAGAACATATTTTTAATTGGCTGAGAATTAGTTGACTTTTCAAACGAACCATAGAATTCTTTCCAAAAACTCATTTGCACCTACTCACAATCCTCATTAACAGCTTTTCTTTCTCCTTGGCTTACCATTATCCATTCCTTTGTCTGACCAAATGTATTTTTCTACCTCTGGGCCATTGCTTACTCTTTTACCACCAACGCCACCATGACACCACCACCCTCCGCCCCTCCCCACCCACCACCACCCCAACCCCCATGTTCCACTTATGTTTCACCACTTCCTAGCTACTGCTAGTTCTGAAGAAAGATCGCTGGATCCTAAACATTATCTCCACTTTCTCTTCACAGCTGCTACTAGACCTGCTGAGTTTCTCCAGCAATTGATATTTTTGTTTCTGCTTTCCAGCGTCTGCAGTTCTTTGTTTTATTTTATTCAAGAGTCAAGCTTTTAGCTGCCTTGAGCTTTTCTGTCCTAATGGTAGATAGAGAAAAGAATTTAAAACTATATAAAGACTGATTTCTGGGATGGAAGGACTGACATGTAAGGAAAGACTAGATTCACTGGGCTTTTATTTGTATATTCATAGAATCCCACCAGTGTGGAAACAGGCTCTTTGGCCCAACAAGCCCACAGTGACCCACAGAACATCCCACTCAAACCAATCCCCTATAATCCACCAAATCTACACATCCATGAATACTATGGGCAATTTAGCATGGCCAATCCACCTAGCCTGCACATTTTTGGACTGTGGGAGGAAACAGAGCACTTGAAGGAAACCCATGCAGACACAGGGAGAATGTGCAAACTCCACACAGACAGTTGCCCAAGGTTGGAATTGAACCTGCGTACCTGGTGCTGCGAGGCAGCAGTGCTAACCACTGAGCCACCATGCCACCCCGGTTTTCCCCTGCACCCCCCTAGCAGTGGTTCCTCTCCCAAACTAAAGACAGTAGCAAACTCTCTTCGTATTTTCCCGTAGCTCTCAATCATAGTCGGCAGGATTCGAACCTGAGCGGGAGCACATCAACTCTCCAGTGACTAGCAAGGATACAAAGATCTTGGTCAAGGTGCCAGCAATCTCCTCTCTCGCATCTCTCAAAAACATGGGGTAGATACCATTGGGCCCTGGGGACTTATCTAACTTAATGCCCTTCAAGAGGCCCAACACCACTTCTTTCTTGATCTCAATATGCCCTAGCATATTAGCATACTCCACACAAATTTCATGATGCTCCATATCATTTTCCTGGTGAATACTACACAAAGTATTCATTTAGGGTTGCACCCACATCCTCTGCCTCCAAGTTCAAGTTCCCTCCTTTGAGTGGTCCCACCTTCTCCTTAGTTATCCTCTTGTTTTTAATTTATGTATAGAATGCCTTGGGATTCTATATTCCAATTCCCTGCTTGAGTTCTTTACTGCTTTCTTTATATTCCTCAAGGTCCCTGTCCAATTTTAGCTTCCTAAATCTTACAAATGCTTCTTTTTACCTTTTAACTAAATTCACAACCTCCCTGATTATCCAAGGGTCCTTACCTAGCCATCCTTGTCCTTCCTCCTTACTGGAAAGTGCCAATCTTAAACTGTCATCAGCAGGTCTTTAAACAATTCGCACGTGTCAAATGTGGACTCGCCTGATAACAGCTACTCCCAATTTTCCATCATAGAATCCCTACATTATGGAAACAGGCCCTTTGGCCCAACAAGTCCACACCGACCCTCAGGGCATCCCACCCATACCCATCCCCCCATAACCCACCTAATCTACACATCCCTGAACACTACGGGCAATTTAGCATGGCCAATTCACCTAGACTGCACATCTTTGGACAGTGGGAGGAAACCGGAGCACCCGGAGGAAACCCATGCAGACATGGGGAGAATGTGCAAACTCCACACAGACAGTCACCCGAGGGTGGAATCGAACCCAGGTCCCTGGCGCTGTGAGGCAGTAATACTAACCACTGAGCCACCGTGCCGCGAAAAATTGTCCTTTTTTTAAACATTTAAGGAAGAGCGTATACTTTTTAAGAAGAAATTAGGATGTCTTTTCATGCCCACTCTGCATAAGATTTGAGATGGACACCAACTGGTCTGGGCGTGATGGTGTTGATACTGTTTAGTGTTATTATTTTCTTCATTACTGTTCTTTGGCATATCTTAATTCGTGTTAGTCCTTTCCCAGATTCAATATTTATTTCATTGGGAATTCTGGCAGACTGATTCTGAAAGCCTTGTGGATTTGCCCTTTGATTCCAATAGTCAAACGGAAACAAGTTTGGGAAATAAAATAGCTAGCTCTGACACTGAAAAAATATAGCGGTGTCCTGTATGTCCAGTTTGCAACCGGGGTTAAAAATGCCGCTGTATATTCTGAACACTGGAGTGAATTTTATGGCTGCCCTTCTGATGGTAGATTTGAAGGCAGATGTAGCAACTAAATAAGGCAGGTTGTAAGGCCTCCATCTACCTGCGCACCTCCAACCTGTCCCCCATATTATGAGCATAATCAACTCACCAGCAGCTTTCACAGAATTAGCTGCCAGCAGGCAAGAAGGTGTCTCCTTTGTGGGATCCGTATGCCCTTTGGGGACACTCCTCTCAAGACTTCTTGTCCCAGCAGTAACCACTGTTCTCTGCTGGCACTGGTCTATAGAACTCTCAGGCTATCTGATTGGGCTGTGGATCTTGAGAATGGTGCCTCCAATCTGATCTAATGAAGGCCATCCCCCGCATATGACAGGACAGCAGACGTCATGTTGATGAAGTACTGTCAAACTTTTAGCCCTGGGCCTGAAAATTATATGATGCAGAAAATTCACCCCAGTGTTACTATAAAATTCCTACAGAATGGAAGCGGGCCATTCAGCCCATCAAGTCCATACTGACCCTCCAAAGAGCATCCCAGCCAGACCCCTCCACCAACATTATCCCTGTAACCCTGCATAATTCCCATGCTAATCGACCTAGACTGCACATTCCTGGACACTATGGGCAATTTAGTATAGCCAATCCACCCAACCTCCACATCTTTGGACTTTGTGAGGAAACCAGAGCATCCGGAGGAAATCCATGCAGACAT